GGCAGCTATGGACACAGAGATGGCTTCCTGGAAGTCCACAGGCACCTACGTTGACGAGGTTCCCCCGCCTGGGGCGAACATCGTCAGTGGCATGTGGATTTTCAGGGTGAAGCGGCCGCCGGGTTCTCCGCCTGTCTTCAAGGCGCGTTACGTGGCTCGTGGCTTCAGTCAGCGGCAGGGAGTTGACTACTTTCAGACCTTCTCTCCCACCCCGAAGATGACCACTCTTCGGGTACTGCTGCACATAGCTGCTCACCGCGACTACGAGCTGCACTCTCTTGACTTCAGCACTGCTTTCTTGCAGGGCAGCCTGCACGAGGAGATCTGGCTGCGTCGCCCACCTGGCTTCACTAGGTCTTTTCCTCCTGGCACCCAGTGGAGCCTCCGGCGGCCAGTCTACGGTCTCCGCCAGGCACCGCGTGAGTGGCACGACACACTGAGGACTACACTTGCGGCTCTTGGGTTTGCTCCCTCTACTGCCGACCCGTCGCTGTTTCTGCGCACCGACACTTCTTTGCCGCCGTTCTACATCCTCGTGTACGTCGACGACTTGGTCTTTGCCACAGCTGACACTGCTGGACTCGCCCACGTGAAGTCCGAGCTGTAGAAGAGACACACGTGCACAGACCTGGGTGAACTGCGCAGCTACCTTGGCTTGCAGATCACCCGGGACAGAGCACGCCGCACCATTACCCTGACTCAGTCACACATGGTGCAGCAGGTCCTTCAGCGCTTCGGCTTCACGTACTCCTCGCCTCAAGCCACTCCTCTGCCTACTCGCCACTCGCTCTCAGCTCTGCCTTCGGATGAGTCCGTAGAGTCGAGTGGCCCGTACCCAGAGCTTGTTGGCTGCCTCATGTACCTGATGACCTGCACACGACCTGACCTTGCATACCCTCTTAGCATTCTCGCACGCTATGTTGCTCCTGGGAGACACAGACCGGAGCACATGGCTGCAGCAAAGAGGGTGTTGCGCTACCTGTGCAGTACGTCGGGCATGGGGCTTGTGCTTGGAGGGCAGAGTCCAGTGGTCCTCACTGGGCACGCAGACGCTTCTTGGGCTGACGACCAGGCTACGCAGCGGTCGTCACAGGGTTACACCTTCAGCCTTGGTTCCGGCTCTGTTTCGTGGCGGGCTACCCGCTCGTCTTCTGTTCTCGGCTCCAGTTGTGAGGCTGAGATCTACGCCGGGGCCATGGCTGCACAGGAGCTTCGCTGGCTCACCTACCTGCTGACTGACCTCGGAGAGCCGCCTCGTTCTCCTCCAGTGCTGTACGTAGACAACAAGGCCATGCTGGCCTTGTGTCGAGAGCAGAGACTGGAGCACAGAACGAAGCACATTGCTCTCCGCTACTTCCTTGCTCGTGAGCTACAGCAGCGTGGTCAGCTGCGGCTTGCATACGTGGCCTCTCAGGCCAACACTGCTGATATCTTCACCAAGGCACTTGCGCCTTGTGATCATCAGCGTTTCTGTACTCAGCTGGGCCTTGTGCCTACCTTGCCTCACTTGCTCACCCCTTGACCTTGTTTGTACTGTTGCATATATATATATACACCTGCTCTTGCTTGTCTAGCCTTATATATATATGTAATCCTGCATGTGAACTGGCCTTGTGGCCTTGAACTTGTGCTCGGAATGTGTGGTGACTTTGTGATCCACCCTGAGCTTGCTTTGCTTTGCTTGACTGGTCTTGTGACCCCTTGTTCTCCCCCACTTTGCCTATGGGGGTGTGTCAGATTTATATGACAGAGCTACTGTAGGCTATAGTGGGGTAGCACATATGGGGTACAGTTTTCTAGGGTTTGCATTTTGTACCCAACTTTCCCTTAGTCATTCTCATTCCTCGTTTCTTCTCATGCAATGTCCTTGGTGCAGTTGACAAAACCGGGTTTGTTCGCGATCTTGATAACGCTCTGGTTGTCGCAGTGAAGTTTGAAGTTCGCGGATGTCGCAATTTTCGCCTCCTGGAGCAGCTCTTGGAGATAGAGTCCTTCGCGGACGGCTGACGTGGCGGCGATGAATTCGACTTCGGCATATGAGAGCGCCACCATTTCCTGCTTCTGTGAACTCCAGGAAATTCATCCGGAGGGCTCAACGCGGAAGAGGAAGCCGGTTCGGGACCGTCGATTTGCAGGGTCGGCGGCGTGATCGGCGTCCACGTAACCAACGAGGCTGAATGTGCGGGTCGTGAGGGTGGAGTAGGTGAGGCCAATGTTCGGCGTGGAGATGGAGTATTGTAGGGCACAATAGTAGGTGGAGATTAGGAACCATGGTGATGGGTTTTGGGAAGCACAAGTTAGGAACGAGAGAGTTTGCCGAAAAAGGGGTTGTTCCCTATAGAGCAAGCAATACAAATAGACAAGAAGAAACAAGAAAGGTGCACCACCAAGTAGGAAAACGCTATAACTACAGTAACCTATCCTACAGGCTGTTACAAATAGAAAATATAAACTTATATTTTCCGACACGCCCCCATAACTGGCTGTAGGAGAGGAGTATGCAGTAAGCGCCCCCTGAAGGGGTACACCACGACTGCGCAACGGAAATCGCAGCAACATGCAAGTGCAGTGGCAACCGGTGCAGTGGTGGCAGATCCAGCTGAACCCAACCCTCCGCCAAGGCAGAAACAGTAGCAGGTGTAGGGGCGGCAGGTCGCCTGAGGAGCAAGCCCTGTGGCTGCAACGTGCACCAGGACAGCAGGGGCTCGACGGCAGCACCTGCAGGCCCCAGCAGCATGCAGCAGAAGCAAAGGCAGGTGGCGGCAGGGGCGGCAGCTGGAGGTGCCACGGCAGCAGCCGGCGGCAGCAGCAGATGCACGGCTGGCTTCCGCCGCCCTCTCACTCTCCCCCCCATAGCGGCACACGCGGCAGTGAGAGAGAGAGGAGGAGGGGCGGCTGCTGGCTCGGCAGAATCTCTCTCGCCACCCCCTCACCCTCCCCCCCTCCCCCCACAGCGATAGGTGCTGGAGGGAGAGAGAGGAGAGAGGAGGGCGGCGGCTGGTTCCTTCTGGTGTACTCCCGCCACCACCTCATCTCCAACCCCCTTCCCACGTCGGAAGTCGCGGAAGGGAGGGGGGCGACACACGCTGCTGCTGCTGCTCCCGCTCTGGCGTGGGGTGGGCGCTGCTGCTGGTCGTGCTGGCGTGCGCTGGCGGGCTGCGCAATGGCGCACGCGCTGGTGCTGGCGCTCGCACTAGTGTAGCGCGCTGGCGTAATGGCGGCCGCTGGAGCGACGCGCTGATGCACGGGCGGGCCGCTGGCAAACGCGCGGACGAGCTCGAAGGCGGGCTGGTGGGCGCTTCGGGTCAGCAGCAGAGGCGCACCGAACAGGGCTGTAATTAGCGCGACCAGCAGGGCGTGACGCGGCCGTACTGAGGCCGCAGCTAGCGCCATCGCGCAGCTCGCCGTCACGGGCAGCAGTGTGACGGGCAGCGCGACGTAGGGCGCGACGCGGGGCTGCATGAGTGAAAATAAAATAGGCCTAGGCGAACCAGGCTCTCGATACCATGTCAAAATAGTAGGTGGAGATTAGGAACCATGGTGATGGGTTTTGGGAAGCACAAGTTAGGAACGAGAGAGTTTGCCGAAAAAGGGGTTGTTCCCTATAGAGCAAGCAATACAAATAGACAAGAAGAAACAAGAAAGGTGCACCACCAAGTAGGAAAACGCTATAACTAGAGTAACCAATCCTACAGGCTGTTACAAATAGAAAATATAAACTTATATTTTCCGACAGGCACGCTGCAGGTCCAACATATTCTCCCCTTCAGTTCGCTTGGCGTGCTGAGCGGGGTGGCTTGAAATGTAAGACAAGTCAGGCCTGCAGGTGACCGCAGCAAAGAGGAGACACCCAAGCTGCTGCTGGTATACTTGGTGAGCAGATGGGTTGAGAGGGGTGGTGTTGGGGTTGTGGGGTGATGCCGGGGAGCAGCATGGGGTGGAGAGGTTCGCTGCCTTAATGTTGAACTTAGTAGACAGAGTGTCGGCGTACTTGGCAGCGGAGTGATGAATGGCGTCAGCTGCGTAGGTGATGTTTTGGCCCAGGAACTGTTTGACGTGGTCGGTGCTGGTGATTTCAGCGCGGTTGCTTAGTTTTTTCTCGAATTAATCAAGAAGCTCGGGACTTGTGCCTGTGTACAAGAGATCGCCCACATACGCCGTGAGGAGGATGTAGTCACCAAGAAAATAAAGACGATACATGATCGCCGCGGGATCTTGACACTCGTCAGGATCATCACAGAGGTAAAAATCGTCCACCTCCTCCTTGGCAACCTCTCCGACCTTGACTTTTGTTCCTGCTGCCGATGCCGCCGATTGAGAGTCGTCACCAGTTTTATTGGTGTCCTTGTCATTTGTTTCTTCCTATAGATCATTCAACTTGAGCGCCAAAGTTCGAGCCGACAGCTTGTTGATCACCTCGGCACCGAAGGGACCGGCAGCGTTGTTGAAAAGCTTCTTCGGGGTCACCGGTTCAAGGCGAGACTCCGGAAGCTTCTTCCCATGAGCACCACCAACAGCCATAGCAACCAAAGAGGGGATGTCTCTTGGGGGAGCCATTGTGCGATGATGACGAGCCTGAAGCAGCTTGTTGATAGCGGATCGTGTGCCAAGGCTGGGCATAGATCGTTCCTTCATGAGTTTGTGCCTCTTCTTCCGTTGCGTGTGTAGATATAACTGTGGCGCGATTGGTGTTGTGCCTTGAGCTTTGAGACCTTAGTAATGGATCGTTCAATAGCATGGAAACTATCTTGCGACCGTATTTCATTGTTGGCGGGAGCCCTAATTGTGCCTAACAATATGTCCTTGAGAGGAATGTTCGCTCTATGAACATATAAAGCGTATCTAGAGAATCCTAAGGTCATAAAGACTACGAATGTAGTGTTTAAAACTGATAAGAAATTGATGGCCATTGATGGTCTTAAGCGCCTGAAAGGACCCACAACGACCTTGATGTTGTCATTTACCTCCTATATCGATACGTTCAGTGTTACCATGCGAAAATGCAAGGTTCGGATTTCGGAAACACTGTTCGGACATTCATCAAGCCGAATGATTACCTGGAAAAAGGTGATTCACAATCGGATTCTAGGCCGGATAAGACGGAATAACGTTACTATCACACACTAGATCAAACAGTCGCAGTCGCCTTGCACAAAAAACGAGACTCCAATGAATACTTGGTGTACTTTGAACCAGGTTTGCCAGCGCGAAAGTGTTGGTTGGCGAGAATCCAGAATTTCGCCAGGATTCAGGGTTTCGGGGTTACCTGGTGATTTGTCGTAGGGAAATCACGTGAAAACACCCGTCTTAGAAGTTCGTGTGATCAGGTGCGATCAAGCAGTACACGGCGATCCAGCAGTTCACGGCGGTCGAGCAATTCACTGCGCTGTTTCTGCGCAGCGGCTCACGCTTGGAGCGATGGGGCGGGGAAGAAGATTCGGTGGTGGTCGGCGGTCGTGCGGATCCAGGTAACGAGGGGGACGGCAGCGATAGGCCGAGGCAGGCACGAGCGGTTGAGTCGATTTACGCACACCCAGCCACGGGTCCGCCGAAAGGTTCACGCGCGCCGAGGTTCGGGTGCGCCCACAGGCTCGGGTGCGGCGACGGGTAGGGTTCGCCGCCCCCTAGTTCGGTGCGCCGTTAGGTAGCTGGTCTTTCGTCGCGCTGCGCGCAGAAATTCCTTGCTCTTCCCTTTTTCCCTTCAGTTCCTCGCTCTTCCCTTTTTCCCTTCAGTCCCCTTCCCCCCTCCACACAATCCCCATCGCCCCTCTCCCTCGTCCCCTCTTCCTTTCCGCCGCAGCGACCACAGGGCGGGCGGCAGTGCAGCAGAGGAGGCAGGAAGCCCGAGGAGGGGCGGGAGGGGGGAGGAGGACGGTGAGACTTAAGCTAGCTCATGCCGTGATTTGCCCTTCAGCTAGCTCATGCCGTGATTTGCCCTTCAGCTAGCTCATGCCGTGATTTGCCCTTCAGCTAGCTCATGCCGTGATTTGCCCTTCAGCTAGCTCATGCCGTGATTTGCCCTTCAGCTAGCTCATGCCGTGATTTTCCCTTCAGCTAGCTCATGCCGCGATTTGCCCTTCAGCTAGCTCATGCCGCGATTTGCCCTTCAGCTAGCTCATGCCGTGATTTGCCCTTCAGCTAGCTCATGCCGTGATTTGCCCTTCAGCTAGCTCATGCCGTGATTTGCCCTTCAGCTAGCTCATGCCGCGATTTGCCCTTCAGCTAGCTCATGCCGTGATTTGCCCTTCAGCTAGCTCATGCCGCGATTTGCCCTTCAGCTAGCTCATGCCGTGATTTGCCCTTCAGCTAGCTCATGCCGTGATTTGCCCTTCAGCTAGCTCATGCCGTGATTTGCCCTTCAGCTAGCTTCCTGCGCGACTGATGCCAAAGCCTTTGAAACTCTCCTTGTTCTCCTCCCTCACTCCTCCTTCCCTTCCCTCCTGGCTATCACTGAGCGCGTAGCGCATGTCTTCCATGCCCTCCCTCCCCTCACCCCCACGCGCCCCACCGCCGCCCCACCTATCGAATTCACCCATTCACCCCACCGTGGCACGCACTCTCCACTCACCACACTCATCAGAGCAATGAGCATCCCTCGCATGAATTTGTGCACATGCCATGGCTTGCCGTTCCCTCCCCTCCCTGCTTCCCTCCGTCCCTCCCTCTTTGCCTTTTATTCATTTTTCCAGACGAAGCATCGATCCATACACTGCTCCCATTTTGTGCCACGCCCATCCTGCCCTCCTGCCCGTCCCACCGTTCACCCACCCTACTCGCACAGAGCTCTCATCGCGGCCTTCTGCGGACGCCAAGCCCTACAAGCCGCCCATGGACCTCGCCATGTGGGTGAGCTGGCTGGATGCTTTAGTCGACTCATTACGCTGTTGTCTGGAATTTATAATTCATGGTGACAAGGCCCTCGATTGGTGACAAGGCCTTCGATTGGTGACAAGGCCCTCGATTGGTGACAAGGCCCTCGATTGGTGACAAGGCCCTCGATTGGTGACAAGGCCCTCGATTGGTGACAAGGCCCTCGATTGGTGACAAGGCCCTCGATTGGTGACAAGGCCCTCGATTGGTGACAAGGCCCTCGATTGGTGACAAGGCCCTCGATTGGTGACAAGGCCCTCGATTGGTGACAAGGCCCTCGCTTGGTGACAAGGCCCTCGATTGGTGACAAGGCCTTCGATTGGTGAGGTGTGCACCATGTGGGTAAGCTAGCCACGCTGGTGCGGCCACCTTAGGTTTGCACATCTTCATACAATGCGACTAAGGCAAAGCTTGCCCGCTCTCTGTGACGCCCTTGCAGCACGCTGGTAACGCATGGAGTAGTGTAGCGGCAAAGCATCTGGTTGCTGCTGCTGCTGCTGCTGCTGTTGCTACAGCAGCCAAGCGGCAATAAACAGGCGGCTGGGTTAAGCTCACCTTCCCTGTAAGGCCACTGCCACTCCCTCAAAGGCCACCTCGTTCGGTGCCTCTTTATCTCTCAACCAGGTGCCCCTGTTTAGGCAGTTCGACAGCAAGCGTTACATGGCGAGGTGGGAGCGTCTGTACTGAAGTATACACTAAAGGCACATGTGCGCGTGCCATGCCGTCAAATGATCCTCACTCTCACTCAACTCAACGTGCGCGCCCATGGACAGGACTTTGGGCAGTGCTACAGCAAGCGGTGCACGGGGCGCAAGCTGCTGCGCCTGAGGCTCATTCGTGAGATGCGCGTGCAGCAGCGCTTTGGGGGCATCTGCCTCAGGTGGGCATCTGCCTCAGGTGGGCATCTGCCTCAGGTGGGGGGAGCATCTGCCTCAGGTGGGGGGGGCATCTGCCTCAGGTGGGTGGTGAGAGGTGAAGGCGCATCTGCCTCAGGTGGGGGGGGCATCTGCCTCAGGTGGGTGGGGCATCTGCCCTCAGGAGTTGAGGGGCAAAGCGTGAGCGTAAGCGTCACTCATAGTCTCGTTTGGATGGGCCCGTCTGGCTGAATCTAAGACCGGGGCATGCTTTTGAGAGTTGCCAAAAGCATGTGCGAGGTGGGTTTTTGCAGGGAGAAGGCACAGGGAGAAGGTGGGGAGGGAGGGAGAAGGCCCGCGTGGTGCGGAGCCAAGGTGAACCAGGAGGTCGTATGCCAGCAGCTCGTGTAACGGGCCGCTCCCCCTCCTGGGCAGCCCGCCCCACCACCTACCCCCTCCTGGGCAGCCCACCCCACCACCTACCCCCTCCTGGGCAGCCCACCCCACCACCTACCCCCTCCTGGGCAGCCCACCCCACCTCATACCCCCTCCTGGTTACTCAGCTGATTGGCTCTCCTTCCTCAGGTGTATGAGACTCACTGCGCTCCCGTTAATCGAGGCATATGCATCCCTGTTCCGTGCCATCCACGCGCTCTTTCCTCCTACATATCACCAGCCACCACACTCCGTTGCACTTCCTGGCTTGGCTTATTTCTGCTCTCATCTTTCTTTGATTGCACCAAGCTTTTTCTTCTCCCAACTGCGTTCACTCACTTGCTCTCACACCCCTTGCTCTCACACCCCTTGCTCTCACACCCCTTGCTCTCACACCCCTTGCTCTCACACCCCTTGCTCGCTCTCACTCCCCTTGCTCGCTCTCACTCCCCTTGCTCGCTCTCACTCCCCTTGCCCGCTCTCACTCCCCTTGCTCGCTCTCACTCCCCTTGCTCGCTCTCACTCCCCTTGCTCGCTCTCACTCCCCTTGCTCGCTCTCACTCCCCTTGCCCGCTCTCACTCCCCTTGCTCGCTCTCACTCCCCTTGCTCGCTCTCACTCCCCTTGCTCGCTCTCACACTCCACGCCCCACCTGCGCAGTGCCGTGGCTGGTGGCGGCCAATCCAGTGAACTATGGCAAGCCCTGCCAGCTGTCATGCGTTGAGGCCATGGCTGCTGCGCTCTACATCTGGTGGGTGTACCACACTGCACACATGGTGGGAGCTGTTCATGGATCTAGGGGGATGCATGCACCATATGCATGCACCATATGCATGCACCATATGCATGCTGGGTATGAGTTGCTGTTCTGATCATGTGCTTATGTGCATACGAACGATGGCAGAGTGCTCCTTTTAGCTTCCTCTTCTCATGCCATTTGATTCAGTCAAGTTCTATGTGCGTTTTTCATCCACGTTCCATCTGTTGTGTGTCTGCACCTAGTCGTTTCTCCCCCCTCTCCTTGCATCCACCCCTTCTTCATCCATCTCCCCCTTCTCCATGCACCTCCCCCCTCTCCATGCATCTCCCCACCATGCGCCAGTGGGGACAAGGAAACTGCTCAGTCGCTTCAAGTGGGGCCACGCCTTCCTCCCCCTCAACAGGCGAGTGGTTCCTCCCCCTCAACAGGCGAGTGGTTCCTCCCCCTCAACAGGCGACTTGTTCCTCCCCCTCAACAGGCGAGTTGTTCCTCCCCCTCAACAGGCGAGTTGTTCCTCCCCCTCAACAGGCGAGTTGTTCCTCTCCCTCAACAGGCGTCTCTTCTTTTCTCTTTACACGCATTTCTCTTCTTCACTGCCCACCCTTCCCCTTCCCCTCTGCCCCTTCCTTCATGCTTTGTGTTCACTCACTATATCCTCCCATGAACCCCTCCTCTGTTCTCGTTCCCAATTCCTCCTTTCCCCTTCCACTTTCCCTTCCTCCCTTATTATACCTCCTTTTCTTCACTCTCCTCCTTTCCCTCTCCCCACCACCACCGATGCAGTGAGCTCCGTATGCGGCGTGTGTGGGCGGGGCAGGCGCGGCACAGCCCACCACTACCCTGTGCTACCCTGTGCCTTCATGCCCCTCCCACCCCTTCCCGCTGTTTGCCTGCAGCGAGCTGCCGGTGGCGTATGCAGCGTGTGCAAGCGAGGCAAATGCGTCGGCCTCACCATTCCTCCTTCCTCTCCACCATCCCCTTCCCTTCCCTCCCACTGCTCCTCCCTGCTCGCCCACAGCGAGCTGCTGGAGGCATATGCGGCGTGTGCGGATGGGGCAGGCATGTGGCAGCCACATCAGTACACTCCGTCCCACCCCTTGCCTTTATCCTTGGCCGTAATGCGTGCAGGTGTCTGCGAGGTGCTTGCAATGGAAGGAGGCGAGACGGTGGATGTTGCTACGGGAGAAGTTGAAGGCGTCAAGGATTGTTGGCTCGAGGGGTTGTTGCGCCTTTCGTCGGCGGCCTTTCGTTTATAGCACCGATCGATAGTGTGCCCAGGCTTCTTGCAGTACTTGCAGAAAGTTCCTTGTCAGAATGTTGTATTTGTCTAGCCTGCAGTGGGGTACTCTGTAGCGAGTATAGCCCAAATTTAGGGTTTCCTATATGTACTCAACTGCCTGCTAGTGCAAACCCTCTTTCGTGTTCTATCTTTTTGTCTATTGCTTTGACATGCTATCAGAGCGGTTACGCTCCTAGCCTGTAGGCCCACCGTTAGCTTCCGCTGCTGTCCTGTCTGTCGCGCGCCCCGTGGCGCGCGACGTTTTTTCTTCCCGCCACGTGCTCCGGGCGCATGGCGGTTTTCTGCCCGCCAAGCGCTCGGGGCGCGCGGCGGTTTTCTGCCCGCCGTGCGCCCCGAGGCACGCGGCGGTTTCCTGCCCCGTCGACCAGCGCGTCGCCCCCCGTCGCCCGTCGAAGCGCCCCCGGGGACCTGCGCGTCGCCCCCCGTCGCCCGTCAAAGCGCCCCTGGGCCGCGCGCGGCCTGTACAGCCTGCGCGCGGCCCGTACGACCTGCGCCAGGCCCGCGCGCGGCCCGTACAGCTCGCGCGCGGCCCGTACGACCTGCGCCAGGCCCGCGCGCGGCCCGTACAGCCCGCGCGCGGCCCGTACGACCTGCGCCAGGCCCGCGTGCGACCCGTACAGCCCGCGCGCGGCCCGTACGGCCTGCGCCAGGCCCATGCGCGGCCCGTTCAGCCTGCGCCAGGCCTTGCGCACCTGCCCTGCCGTGCGTGCACCCGCTCCCGCCCCGTCCTGCCTGTGTTAGGGTTTGGGGGTGGCGAGTATGGGGATGACGGGTGTGTGAGGCCTCCCCTGCTCCTCCTCCTCCTCCGTCTCCCACTGCTGCAGCTGCCGCTGAGGGGGGTGGATGCGTGGGAGCCGTCGGAGTAGTACTATGGGGGTGGCGTGTGAGCACTGCTAGGGGGTTCAGCAGGGGGTGTGTGAAAGGGGTGTGGGACAGCTGGGGGAGGTTGAGTGGAGTCAGCTGTCTTGTCGTCCGCAGCGCCAGTAGTCCGGAGGCTACAATCTTCGGTAGTCGCCAGTCGCCCGTGGGTCAATTGCTCTAGCCGCTCGGCGTAGCCGCGGAGCCAGTTACTCCTAAAGTCCGGGCCATTGCTTCGGTAGCCACTGAGCCAGCCGCTACAGTGTGTCTGCAGCTTCAACCGCCGTCTCCCATCTTCTCGCCCCTCACAGTCTCTCCTCCTCACTTGCCCTCTGTGATAGCCTCTAGCTTTGCTTATCATTGTGAACTATTGCTCTGCCTGCTTATTGTGCTGATTACACCCCACGTTGGCTATGGGGGTGTGTCAGAATGTTGTATTTGTCTAGCATGCAGTGGGGTACTCTATAGCGAGTACAACCCAGATTTAGGGTTTCCTATATATACTCAACTGCCTGCTAGTGCAAACCCTCTTTCGTGTTCTTTCTGTCTATTGCTTTGACATTCCTTTATTTCCGTGCTGCTCCCCTTCAGTTGCTCCGACGTAGAAGACTAATTTCTCCCGCTTGATGTTCTTCTCGTTATACAGGTCGATCTCCTTTTGCTCGGAGAGAAGCGTGGCACACAGGGCCGACTCGGAAACGGTTGCTCGAGCGCGGAGCAAGTTGGCATTGACGCCAGTCGGGTCCGAGGCCGGAAAGAACCATCGAGACGAACATGTCGTCTGGGACGGATCCGCCGCACTTTTTGATGTGATCGCGTAGATTGCGGCACCGGTTGATATATGGTCCCGCTTTCTCCCCTTGCTGCATTTTGACCGATGTAAGCTGGCTGAATAGGCGACTCATAGTGACGGGATCTGTTGCCATGTATGAGTTGCGCAGGTGCTCCCAAGAGGTGTACGTGGGCGCCCACTCTGATTTATAGGAGCGAATGCCGAGCTGCTCGGAGGGGGAGAGATTTCAAAGCAGAGTGGTGTACGCGAGAAGAGACTCGTGGTAATATTGGTTCTTCTCTTGGACGGTGCCTTTTGTTGGAAAAGGTAGGCTTCCGTCGTAGTACATCCAGATTTGCGCAGTTGTTGCGAGGAGCTCAAACTCGAAGCTCCAAGTGTAGAAGTCTTTTCCGTCGAAAGTAACTGAAGTTTTCAGCTTTGAAGTCAGAACGAATTTTGTCTGCATTGTTGCAATCGTGTCTGAGTGTGCGCGTTGCTGATTGTCTTGCGCAGGAGGTGAAGCTTGACGGTTGTCAAATGTGAAGGATCTCTCGGAGTTGACGCGGCGGTCTTCTCCAGGGAGAGGAATTCCAGCAACTCCACGTGCATAGCTTGAGCCCTCAATGCTCATTGCTTGATGGCTCTCAAGAGCATTGATGCGGGCGACCAGCTGCTCAACGAGAGCGGGGCAGACGGAGGTCACTGCTAATGGTGCAGTAGGTGTCGCTGGTGGTGGGCCCGGAGAATTTGCAGTGGCTTTTCTTTCTGGAGCCATAGTAGTGCAGAGTTTGTAACGATGTAACAAATAATTTATGAGAAGGTTGTTCTAGCAAGAACAAGAACTTAGCAGGCCTTATAATCCACTCTAGCTGTGAGAGTACGAACGGCTTATGCCAGCTATGCTTGCTTGCCTTTACTTTATTATGCTATTTCTAGCATAGGATAATCATATGCATGCATGAATTGCTTGATTTCCTAGGCTAGGTGCTTTCCTATATTTTATTATAGTTATAGCACCGAGCTAGGTTGCGTGCACCGAATTCTGGCTTTTCGGTTGCCACCGAATTGCCTCCTACCGAATTCGGTAAGGATCTGTTCGGGACGCTTCGCGACCCGCGGAACCTTCGCGTAACACCTGGTTACGGGGCCTTGTGTCGAGCCTATATATAGCCTCGTGTTGTACCCAGGTGATTCATTCAATTCGATTCAATTCACATTCTCTTTTCTGAGCTCGATCCTAGATCCTCACACTTGGTAATCAGAGCCCGTTTACACGCGAAGTTCTTTCGACCACTAAAACCAGTCTTCAAAAAACCGCGGGGGCGACGCAGTCAAACATCGATTTCGGGTACGTAAAACCGGTTCCGTGTTTTTCACTCCCCCTCGATTCGGTTTTTCGGACGCGTTGATGTCAGGCATGGAGGGCCAAGGCGACAACTACGCGACTACGAGCGACATTGCGAGCCTCCACACCGACATGGAGCAGACGCAGGCGACGCTTCGTCGACTCGAGGCTTTTCTGACAAGCCAACCAGGGTTCGCCACCGCAGCAGCAGCGACCGCAGCGACTGCAGCACCGACAACTCCAGCAGCAGTGGCGACACCGACATTTCACGGACCAATGGCACCACTGTCGCCGAACCTCGAAGCAGCACGACCGAGGCTCCCGGAGGCGTTCGATCCAAGCGCGAAGGGATCCGACGTCCGGCGATTCGTGGCCACCCTCGAAATTTACTTCGAGGCCATTGGCAGTTCGACCCCACAACACGACGCAGCAAGGATTCGGCTCGCAGCGACACTGTTACGTGGACCGGCTCTCGAATGGATTTACTACACCGACGTAGCCCGCGGGGAGAAAACGTGGCAGCAGTTTCGGGCAGATTTAATCGAGCGTTTCGAACCAATTAATACGACCTACATGGCACGGCAGCAGATACACCGACACAAACAATACAGTAGTGTAGCACAGTACACGCAGCAGATGGAGTTACTGTTCAACCGCATCACCGACCTGACCGAAGGCGAAAAAATCCAGGCGTACACCGAAGGGTTAAAAATGGAGATTCGGCGGCAGGTGATTGCGGCGAATTACAACAGCTACAGAGACATCGTGCGTGCTGCCGAGCGATACGACGCGCCGACTCGAGGTCAACCCGAAACACAACGCTTCACGCCGAACCGTACATTCGGCACGGAGCGATCGGCACCCCCCACGTTCGCCGAACCGATGGATATCGACAAATACGACGCGAAGCAGCAGCCGACAAAATGCGAATTTTGCGGCGCAGCAGGGCATCAGTTTTTGTCGTGCTACAAAATGAAGAAAGCACGTGCGGCACTCCGGGACGGAAACAGTGGAGCACCCCCGAAGTAAAAAAACGGGAATTGCCAGTAGCCGCGGATCGACCTGGCGATCGCGTAAAGATCCGAAAAGCAGAAAAAGGCGACAACGTGGCGACTTCGGAGCGGGTGA